CCCCCCCCCCCCCCCCCCTTTTTTTTTTTTTAAACCTTGCTGTTGTTTTACCTTGGAAATAACCAGCACATCCACCCTGATCTCCCCGGGTTTGATGATGGACATGTGGCCCTGATCTTTAATGTGAGTTCCAACAACACAGGGATCGGAGGGGCGGGCGCAGCATCCGTAACACCCCCAGCTCTCACCCCTCCTAGTGCTTGGTAGGATTCAGTAGCTTTTAACAGGACTAAAGCCTCCTAAAGCCCAGCTTTAAAGACCCCTTCCCCTTGCTGCACAGCTCGGGGGGGTGGGGATGCCTTGCCATGAAGCGCTGCCTGAGCATCCATCCATCCAGCCAAGCATTGTACCAGCAACTCCATGGAGTAAAACAGCCCCTGCGAGAGCCCAAGTGCCTCCTCTGCTTCCGAGCATCCCACCATCCCTGCCCACATCCCCCCTGCCACGTGTGACCGAGGGGACCCCCCAGCAGTGCCTTTGCAGCCCCGCCCTGCTAGCACCAAGCCCCGCGGTTTTGCTTCTCCATCCCTTTCCTTCTCCATGGATTCCCTCCCACGCCTGTCTCCTGACATTTATTTGGAGCACTGTAATAAATCCAGCTTGAAATCCAAGAGGATTTTAACATCCTCTCGGGAGCTCTGCACTCCCCAATAAAGGGTTGACCACAGACTGAATCCCTCCGGGGTAGGATGGGGATGAAGGAACCGCCATGGGGAACACAAAATGGGGATGGGCTGGGGGACTGCCGGGGGTGAAGGGCTGGGTCAGAGCCTGGAGTACCACACACCCAGGCATCGGGGTGATGTGGAGCCCGATCCATCCATGAATCAGCCAAAACCACACACGACCAAAGGGAAAGGAGAAGGAGGGTCTGTTCTTTCCCTGCCTGGTTTCCATGGAAAGCTCCAGAATAGGGCTCCAGGAGGATGCTTATGGAGCATCAGCAGCATCCTGGGTCAATGGGGAAGAATAACGATAAAGCAGCTAAAAAGGGACAAGGGAGTAGAAAGGGGAGGGAAGAACTGAGTCAAGTCGGGAAGCAAGAGTGAGGATGCAGGGTCAGGGTAGGGTAATGATGCTCAGCCTCTTCCCAAGGTCCTAGAGGGGACAGAGCCACAGGTCCACAGCTAGGCTGAAGCAGGCAGCAGCTCGTAGAGGTTTTCCACGTGTCTCTAGCTGCTCTTTCCTCCTTACCACCATCAGCAGAGTCTCTCTCTTGCCAGCTCTATGCTATCCCATTGCTGTGCCAGCACTGACTGCAGCTCCCAGCCTCAATCTCACCGTGAAAGTCTCTATATGTAGTTATTCTATACATCTATATGAGGCATTGGCCACAGCTGGCTGGGGGTGACAGCCCCAAGGTGGCATGCACAGCATGGCCAAGCTGTTTTTTACCTGGGGGGGGTTTTGATTTTTCTTTCCTGGCAGCAGCGCCTGACCGAGGAGCTGCAGACGATGGAGAACGGTTACCACGATAACCCCACGCTGGAGGTGATGGAGACCTCCTCCGAAATGCAGGAGAAGAAGGTGAACCTCAATGGGGAGCTGGGGGACAGCTGGATCGTTCCTCTCGACACCCTGATGAAGGAGGACCTGGAGGAAGAGGAGGACACACATTTATAGAATACAGAACTTGAGCAAGCAAAAATACAACCACCACCACCCCCCCAAAAAAACCCCATAATTCCTAGATACACACGCACACAACTCCAAAATTCCCAACAAACCCCAAAAAATCCCTTAATGAACTGATCATGGCCACCACATGGAGTGCAGGATGGAAGAAGGAGGGACATGAGAAGACACCTCTAAGACATGTCATCGACACAAGCCACCGTGGTGGCCACATCTGGACGAGCATCCTCCATCACCCACAGGTGCTCAGCAGGACCTACCATGCCAGACCTGACTGTCCACGGGCAAACAGGGTGGTTTTGGTCCCAAAGAACTGCTGGTGTCTCCTCCAAGCATGTCCCCTCCAATCCCGCATCCGACTGCAGCCTCCAGCTATTGAGCAACTCAAAAAAATTAAAAAAAAAAATAGGATGGGAGAGGGAGCACAACATCCAACAGCAAACCAGCACCTGGCAATTAGAGCTAGAAAAAAAATCTTCTGGCCCACGCTGTTTAGTCATCGCTCTGCCCTCCCCGACACCCAGGTATCGAGCGGAAAAAGCTGGAACAGCCTGTTCCTTTTTAATCCAGTTTCCATCCTCTCTCCAGAAACCGCCGGCTAAAAACGCACAAGAGCCTCACGTGGTGCCACAGGCAAATAAACGCATCCAGACCCGGCTGGATGGGAGGGATGCGGCCGTGCCAAGGGACGCCCAGACCCGTGCCATCGCCAGCTGCCCCACAAAGGGCTACAGGACAGATCCTGCACCTGGTTGGAGACCAGGAGAGGTGCAGCAGCTTTTTGTATTGATACAAAGTGGGAAGGAAAGGAGAAAAAAAAAAAAAAAAGTAATTCCTTGAGTTTATCCCTCCCAGGAAGGGTGGAATGGGACTAAGAGAGATGCCTGGTTGCTCGCCCAGGCACAAGGTTGGGGGTTTCATGGTGCAGGAGCCCAGCTCTGCCCCTGCATTTCCCTGCAGAGGTGTTGATTGCCTTCCAGCAGCATCTCACAGCCCACATCCATCCTCCCTCGAGAACCGTGGGTTACGTGCACTGTGATGGTTTGTGATTTTTGTGGTCGTGTTTTCTAAGCAGCAGAAGAGCTAAAAGAGCAACAGAAGCACGAGCCAGGTAGCTGGGTGATATTCAGGGTTTTCCATCAGTACAGCCCTTGTAGGTGTTTCCTACCCACGAGGTTTATAAGCTCAGTCCACATCCTTCTAGCTTTTCTGCAAAAGCTGGTAAAAAAACAGAGACCTGCAAAGAAACTCCCAGCAAAGTTGGGACCAAGCTTCGCCTTGCAGCCCTCGACATCTTGTCCAGGTCTCCCTTTGCCATAAGTCTTCAGAGAAGGGAAGAAAAACAACGTGCAGGAGGAGAAAGTGGCTGGACTGAGGCCATTTCTGGTTTTCTACTCCCCATCACAGCTTCTCAATGGCTCTAAAAGGATGGGGAGAGTTTCACACCAGGGACTTTCGGTCTGGCTTTAGGGAGCAGATCAGCCCCGGCAGGGATCAGAGCCAGGCTCCATCCCCAGCACACAGGGAAGGGGACCAGAAGGTCACAGGATCACAGAATGGTTTGGGTTGGAAGGGACCTTAAAGATCATCCAGTTCCACCTCCTGCCATGGCCAGGGACACCTCCCACTAGCCCAGGTTGCCCAAAGCCTCATCCAGCCTGGCCTTGAACCCCTCCAGGGATGGGGCATCCACAGCTTCCCTGGGCAACCTGGGCCACTGCCTCACCCCCCGCACACGGAAAATGAGGCTGAGTTGGTCCTTGGGAGTCCTCACGAGAGTCAAGGTGGTTTGCTTGGCCCCAGGACAGAAGCTGGCAGAAGATCCGTCTTCTCCAAGGGACCAGCTCTTCTCCCTTCTCTCCTGAAGAAGGGCAGAGTTGGAAGCATTCAAATCTATATATTTTTGTATGTAAATATTCCTGCTATCCATTAGCGATGTATTCAGCACACTTCGCTTACCTGTGCACTGCACTATGGGGAAGGAATTTTGGAAGGGGGGTGGGATTTAAAAAAAAAAAAAAAAAAAAAGAGGAAAGAAAAATCTAAAGGCCAGTCTGGTATGGGATCAAAATTCAACACCAAGCAGGAAAATGCCTCCCACCCTGATAACCCCACACTGCAGCTTTGTCCCCACTCTGGCAGGATTGAGTTGAGCTCTTGAACGTTGCAGCAAGGCTCAAAGAACCCGTCTCGGCATTTGCAATCGCTTTCATGAGAGCATTTCCTTCTCAGTTGCCCCAAGAGACGAGCAGCAGGTTGGTGACCTTGCATTTCTGTCCCTCGTAGAAAATAAACGCGGTGAAAACACGGGGCAGCAGGGAGGCTTTGGCCGCTGGGGCTGGCGTTGCTGTCACGATGCCCCTGGCAGAGCATCTCCAGGCAGGTGGGTTTTTGGCATGTGCCTCAAGATCCCTTTTCCCAGCGAAGAGATGCCAAAGTGCTTTAATGAATCAGGTCCAAAGACTTTCCAAGAGAATCCTACAAAGGCTTAAGATCAAGCAACCTTAAAAATCTTTCCGAGCAGAGACCAGTGAAAATGTTAACTGCTCAGTAAGTGCTTATAGTGATTTATATTTGAATAGGAATTGTACATTTATTTATTTTTCCAGACACCATATTTTTAAACCACTAATATTTTATAGTAGATTTTCCTTCCCCTATTTAAAGAACTATTTCCGCAGAGAAAACAGTACGTGGTTTTTTTTATGTTGAGAACATTCTTTTTGCATTTAAAAAAAAAAATCAGGTAGGAAATGCAGTAATGAGCATCTTTGGCCTTAATCCTTCCCTTCGTAGACTGTAGCCATAATTGTTAGACCAAAAATAATAATAATAATAAAAAAAACCCCTACCCAGGCATTTCCTCCCTGCCCCGCGTTCCTCTTCTCTCCCCTAAAACAGCTTTAACATCCGACATGTACAAAGAGATTCTCGCTCTTTACCTTCTGGTGAGAGTTTTACAAGCAGCTCAGATGTCCTTGCAAGAGACTTTTTTTCTATTTTCAGATTCACAAGGAATGTGTAAATATTTTAGGGCCGTTTATCTCCCGCTCACAGTGCCATGACCCAACCGACGAGGTTCATACTGGGACTGTTGCCTACAGAAGACATCATCCCAAAGGGACTGCAGAAGGAGAACTTATTTCCCAAAGCAGCTACTACCCGTTGGACCTTGCACATATAGTAGAGCTCTTACGTACTGTATAGCAGCATCTCTCACGGGGACAGGAGTCTGATTTACACTGGAATTTACTGAGGAACTGGATTGTAGAGATTATTCTTGCATTTTGCTACAAATATATTTTGAAAGCATCATGTATTTCTGTCAATAAAACATTCTTATGTAAAAGACTCGCTTCTTGGCTGAGTGAAGAAGGGTGGAGGGAGCAGAGCTTGAGAGCCACAACTATCCGCTATGTCGATGTTACAACTGGTTTGAGCTTGTTTGGAAACTCAGCACAAGCTCTGCATGGTCCTGCGAGCAAGAACATGTGAAAACAGCGGACAAGCAGAAGCAAAACCCACCCAGACCTTCAGAAGTAACCAGCCATGGAGGAGGTTGTATTTTTCCCCATGCAGGATAGTGGTGAAAAACTTCCCTTAATTAAAAACAAAAAACCTCCACAACCTTCCCTTAGCTTAAAAAACAAAAACAAAAAACAACAACAACAAAAAAACCACCAGCCCAAAAAACAAAACCAGAAAGCTCAGAGGGGTGGGATGCTCAGCTGAAGCGGGTGAGGGCAGCCCCACCACAGCCAGAGCTCCAGTTTGGATTATTAGTGTCTTTAGGCTCATGTTGGAGGGAAGGGAGGGGGAACTTGCCCTTATTTCTGCATTTCATCTGAACTCAGCACTGCACTTAGCTCAGGAGGAGGGAATTGAACCTCGTGTCCCTAAATCAAAACACCCAAAGGAGAGAGGGCCATCACGTCAGGGGCGACGGCAGGGTCAGCATCTCCGTTTGCCTTCAAGTACCCAAAATAAAATATTTTGTTCCAGGTTAAGTTTTCACTTATGTAAAGGAAGGAAAAAAAAAAAAAAGGTTTGATTCAAATATTAAAAGTGTTTTGCATCAGCCTATGTTTTAACTCTGTGTTCCTCCCCAGTAAAAGTTCTTACACAGCGGATTTACGGGATCCTGACCCAGCCCATCGCTGATTCCAGGGAACAGGATATTTTCTCAGCTGTTCTGCAGGGCAGGCTCCTCCAGCACGAACAGAGCCTGCCGCCCAGGCGTAACACACCGCCGGTTTCACAATTTCTGAATCCCTACAAGACACTCAGCCATTTTTTTTTCCATTCTCAGAAGCGATGTTAGAACAAACAGATCTTAAACAAACACCCTTGCTAGCATATACATTTTTATTAAGAAAAAAAATGAACAAAATACATTCTCTCCTTATGTACATTACATACAACATAACTACATTTGTAGATAATTCCTCATATCACTCATTCATTTATGTACAGCATGGGACTTACAGTTTAAATTCCGCAATTATCAAAGATGATTTATGCCAAGGAAGAAAATGAACACCCCAGGCTGAACAAAAACTCATCCATTTAGCTGTAAAAGAAAAGGGCAGGATGGGGAATCTCCAGAGTCCAGGAACGATGCCTGTAACCACCATGGGCTCAACACAGGACTAGTCAATATTTGACTTAGTAAAACACGTGCAGTTTACAGCGTTCATCACCCCACAGGTGCTCCTTTCCAGCCCAGGGCTGTCTGTACCTCTTGCTTCAGCTCTCCTGCGGTCAGGTGCCTGAGACAAGAACTGCAGGACAGACAGACACCAAAGGGAATTCAGACGGACACCAGAATCTGCAGGATTGCTGGAGAGAAGCAGATGCTTCAAGTCGGATGCGAAAACAGGAAAAAAAGGGTCAAATTCCAGACAGGGAGCAGACACTCACAACTCCAAGCACTGCATAGGGAATAACCAGCTTTTGGGGACCACACAAGGGTGCAGAGGACGAGATAA